GGAGCCGCGGTCGCCCGGGCCGAGATTGGGGGGGCAAGGCGGGCGACAGAAGGCCGATGCCTCCGTCGCCCGGCCCTCTACAGAATCCACCCCCCAAACCTCCAGGTATTTCCCTCCTTAGAGCTGGCAACCCTACATTCCCCTCAGTGCCTGTTGGTAGGCAACTAAGCTTGGTCCTGTCACCTACTTTGGCCTTTGGGAGAAAACACATTGGGGCCAGTCCTGATAGGGTTGCCAACTCCAGATGGGAAATTTCTGGAGATTTGAGGGATGGAGCCTGAAGAGGGTGAGGTTTGAGGAGGGGTGGGACCTCAGACAGGTACACTGCCATAGACTCCACCCTCCAAACCAGTCAGTCCCACATAGGGAACCATTGCTGCCAATCTCCAGGTGAGGGCTGGAGAGCACTCAGTATTACAACTGCTCTGCAGAAGGGAGGGCAGAAGTCAGCTGAAGTCAAAGGGGCAGATAATGGTAGGTTGATGGCTAGCTGGGAAGGAGATGGGGTTGCCAACTACATGCTGACAAATTCCTGGGGATTTGAGGGGTGGAGCCTGGAGAGGGTGGGATTTGCAGAGGGGTGGGACCTCAGACAGGTAGAATGCCATAGACTCCACCCTCCAAACCAGCCATTTCATCCTGGGTAACAATTGTTGCAAATCTCCAGGTGAGGGCTACAGATTACTCACAATTACAACTGCTCTTCAGGTAGCAGAGATCAGTTCCTCTGGAGAAAACAGTGGACTCTGTCATTATACCCTGCTGAGGTCACCACAGCAAATTGACACTGTTTGCCCAAAGCCAGAGCACTGCCCCAGAGCCTCTTTCTAGATCCCGTTGTATTGCTTTCACAACGGGCTTTACTGCTAGTCAGTGATAAAACAAGTAATACAAAAAATCAAGACACAGGATTTGAGTGTGGGCTGATTGTTTAATGAAATACAGAGCTGGCTATCGCCACTCTGCAATACTTGTCCAGGGGTCATTTCGTAGAAAAAGAGGTGCAAAAGCTCATTAGCATAACTTCCCGGTTTTGCAGTCACACAGATCTTAGCGAAGCGAGAGTAAATGGCCTTTACTGGGGGTCACATCCTGTGCAATGAGCCAATAGTGATAGGTTTCCTACTGATGTAGTGAACTTCCCGCGGTTCCTATAGGTGACTAGGAAGCTCAAATACTCTGGCCACCCAATGAGAAGAGAGCACTCACTGGAGAAGACTCTGATGCTGGGAAAGATCGAAAGTCAAAGAAGACGGGGACGGCAAAGGATGAGATGGTGAGACAGTGTCATAGATGCAACGAACATGAAATTGAGCAAACTTCAGAGGACGGTGGAAGACAGGAAGGCCTGGCGGGATCTGGTCCATGGGGTCGCGAAGAGTCGGACTCGACTGTGCGACTGAACCACAAAAACAGTGAGTCAAGGACATTCTACTTAAGCGAAGAGTCCCGGTTTGTTAGATCAATCTGAAAAAGAGCGGGGGGTGGGGAAAGGTTGTAGATCCACCCACCCGAAACGGAGCAGTCCGTAAACGGTAGAGAAAAGACTAAAAATGAAACTAACCGTACGAGACTCTTTTTAAGTGTGAAAGCATCAATTTAATCCAAGACACGCTGAAATCAGATAAACTTGACTTTAAAACTAAAACCTTTTTCTTCCTATAAACAATGGCTGGGAGAGGGAGGAGAATGGCGGTGGAAAAGAAAGCAACAGGAAGTACCATACCAACGACTCCCACACAGTCACAAGAAGCGGCTGCAGACTTTTCCAATATGCTGGCTTCAGCATTGTGCCCTCTGCTGGAGCAGATGTCAACTATCAACACTGGAGTGTTCAAAAACAGCTGACACATATGGAGAAAAGGGCCAATAAGACAGACAAAAAAATCAAAACAGTTGAAACAAGAACTACAGACATTGAACAAAAGTTGGAAGAAGTAAAAAAAAAAAAAAGAAATACGGATAAAAGCCAAGTACTCCAACTACAATTGGAAAAATCAATGCATGTTTTATGCTTTCAAAAAGTTCCTGAACAGAAAGGGGAAGATTTAAAGACTATTTTAAGCGAAGCGATAGCGGCAACTTCAGATCTCAAACAAGAAGACCTCCAAAATGACATGGACTTGGCTTATCGCACTTACCCTGACTTTATAAGAAAAAATAAACTACCTGGCGAAACACACGTGGAATTCTCTAAGAGAACGATGAGAGAACATTTTTGAAAGCTACAGCGGGGAAAACATTAAAAGTCAAGGAGGAAGATATTGCAATTTTAAAAGACATTCCATTTGAGATACGGAAACAAAGACGGCAATATAAAGATTTAACTCTTTTCCTCCAAAAATAAATCAATTGCCTACAGATGGAACTTCCCTGAAGGACTTGTGTTCAACTGTGATGATAAGAAAATCAAAATTGACTCTGTCCAAAAGGCTAAAAGCTTCTTAAAACAACAATTAAGCGTAGACAAAGATGAGAAAACAAGCTCCGACGAAGGAGAAGAACCCAGCGAGAAAGAAGCGGATAACATCTCAAGTTACTCAAGTGACTCTTTTTGGTTAAAAAAAAGTTACTCAAGTGACTCTAGCAGTACAACTGAAACTTCAGAATCTGAGAACGGAGAAACAGCGCCTAAGACTTTTAAAGCAAAGAAGAAGAAGCCTAAGAAATAACGGCGATTTGGATTATAATTTGTTTGACTAGAGCGTATCCATTTTACTAAATAGATGTTTGAATCCTCTGTTGGTTTTTATCGAGATTGTAACCATACGTTTCAATCTTGTCATATTTTAGTAGTAGTATAGTCCCCTGTTCCCAGTCATATTCTGTGCAGGATGTGAACTGCTCCACTCAGTAGGGGGGGAAATTAGAGGGAACATTGCCTTCTACAATCATTTTGTAGAAGTCCACTGGGAAGCTAGACTTAACAGTGGCTTAAGTTCGGCTTCCTCTAGAAGAACTGTAGGGTATTGGCACATCAGCCCACTCCCATTCTGTGAACCTGTACTTAATTTCGCCATTTATAGCAGTTTGCTCTGGAGCCATCCTTCCTGAGCTAATACAAAAATGTATGAGCTGGAGGCTAAAAACTGTGAGCTAGCTCACACTAACTCAGCTTAAAGGGAACATTCACCCTTCACTACCCAAAGGAGTCTCAGAGTGGCTTACAATCTCCTTTCCCTTCCTCCCCCTCAAAACGGACACCCTATGAGGTAGGTGGGGCTGAGAGAGCTCTTTCGAGAACTGCTTGTGAGAGAACAGCTCTGAAAGGACTTGTGACTGACCGAAGGTCACACCAGCAGCTGCATGTGGAGGAGTGGGGAATCAAGCCCGATTCTCCCAAATTTGAGTCCAAGCTCCTAACCACTACACCAAAATGGCTCTCAAAGAGGGGTCGCAGAGGGTGGTAGGTACTCTGGGTGAATGGAAAGGGGCATCACAGTTGTTTTCATGATGTACACAATATTTAATAATGTAATGTATTCTATATGTATTGGTTTTTTCCCGCCACTGCATCCCGAGTTGCCAGGCAAGAGGCAGAAATATTTTAAATAAATAACTATTAAGTTTCTTGGCTGACTATTCACACTCCCTAATGCCCATTAGGTTTTCCACGTTGTCAATGATGACAAAAAGAGGGCGAGATGTGTGCTTGCAATTCGCACCCTATAAGGTGCCTGCTTTTCCCAACACATCCCTGATCCAACGTGGAGGTAGCATCCATCCACAGATTCAAGTGCGGGATCCAGAATGCTGCACACTGACTGGATCTGGGAGTAAAACTGATGTGAACCCCATTCACTGTGTGGACAGAGATACCAACTCAGATCCAGTTCGGAAAGCGCCAGGGGTCCTTTCGTAGAAAAAGAGCTAGGGGAACTCATTAGCATAACTCATTAGCATATGCCACACCCCCTGACATCCCAGGAAGTGTGTCATAAGGCCACACCCCCTGACATCACTGGAAGTGTGTCATACGTCCACACCCCCTGACATCACCGGAAGTGTGTCATAAGGCCACACCCCCTGACATCACTGGAAGTGTGTCATAAGGCCACACACACCACCCCCAACGGTCCCGGCCGCCGCCGCCGGCTTTGCAGCTCCACTGCCGAGCCCCATGAGGGGCCCGGCGGTGGACCTGCAAGGCCGGCGGGAGTTCAAGGAAGCCCCGCGAAGGCCCTCCCTGGCCCCAGGCAGGCAGGGGTGGGGAGAGGCAGGGAGGAAGCAACTTACCCTCCCTCTCCTCCTGCCTCCTCCTGGCTGAATGAGGGCCGGAAGCGGGGCGGCCGGAAGCGGGGGGCGGGGCTTCGTCATGTGCCCTGCCCCCCGTACCTCACCTGGGGGAACTGCGATCCCCCGCCATCCCCCCCGAAATGACCTCTGGAAAGCACACTGCCTCAAGCTGCATAGATATTGTTGTGCAAAACCGTACCTAGATTGGGGACTGAAGGGGGAAAAGGTGAAACGTTGAATGAGCCACTGTGTAGCCATGTTGGTGAAGGCCAATTAAAGAACTGAAAAGGGCATTTGACCTAGTGCTGACCCAACAATGTTATTTGTGTTAGGGAAGGGGGCTTGTGGCTCAGTGGAAGAGCCTCTGCTTGGCATGCAGAAGGTTCCAGGTTCGAACCCGAGCATCCCTAGTTAAAAGGACCAGGCACGGCAGTAGGTGATGTGAAAGACCTCTGCCTCAGACCCTGGAGAGCCGCTGCCAGTCTGAGTAGACAATACTGACTTTGATGGACTCAAGGGTCTGATTCAGGATAAGGCAGCTTCATGTGCCTTTAGCTGAAGCCTGCGAGTCTGCATTCCTCGCTTTATATGGGTAAACTAGCCCTTAACCTACACCCTGGTTTTTAAACATAGCAGTCAGCAATTTTTCTTATGCTAGTGGAGCAAGACAGATAAGGTCGTGGTATTCTGATAAGTATGTTGAGAAGGAAGTATAGATAGCTCAATTATTGCCTACTTTTTGGTGCAATATTGAATAGGCATGCATGGATTGGCTATATGTTATTGCATTTGTTGTTGTTGTTGTTCAGTCGCACAGTCGAGTCCGACTCTTTGCAACCCCATGGACCAGATCCCGCCAGGCCTTCCTGTCTTCCACCATCCTCTGAAGTTTGCTCAATTTCATGTTCGTCGCATCTATGACACTGTCTAACCATCTCATCCTTTGCCGTCCCCGTCTTCTTTGACCTTCAGTCTTTCCCAGCATCAGGGTCTTCTCCAGTGAGTGCTCCCTTCTCATTGGGTGGCCAAAGTATTTGAGCTTCATTTTCATTATCTGGCCTTCCAGGGAACAGTCGGGGTTGATTTCTTTTAGGATTGACTGATTTGATCTCCTTGCAGTCCAAGGGACTCTCAAAAGTCTTCTCCAGCACCATAGTTCAAAAGAATCTATTCTTTGGCGCTCGGCCTTCCTTATAGTCCAACTCTTGCAACCATACATGACTACTGGGAATACCATTGCTCATTACAATGCTGTAAAATTTACTCTAAGTACCAAACAGTGTAAAGGGGTTAGTGTCTTCTTGACCTTTTTTAGGGATAGATACTTCACTTGATCATGATCAAGTAATAATGAACTTGCTTCTACTGGTTAGTTGTTCACTAACTTGGACTCCTTCAACTGAACCCAGTAAAAGTTTTATTTTCCCCCATCAGGACACACAAGTCAATCTCCTTATCTGATTATTTTTGATAATTTGTCATCCATTAATTAATGCATTAGTAACAGTAACATGAGCTTTCCAGTATGATCCCTATGATCTTTCTAACTTCTCAGGAACCAAGTGGGAAGAACGGGTGTGGAATATAACCTTGAGAAGTCCCTTACTGGATCGGGTCCATCTCAGTTCAGAAGTGTGCTTTTAACAATAGCGATCCAAAGTCAGGTGCTTTATTTGACTAGATTAGATTCAGTTATTTGTAACCAACCTACCACTAATCGTCTGCAACACACTTGAATAAAATAACACGCTTACTGGAAAAAGAATATCAATTGGTTCAGTCTTGTATTGCTGTGGAAATGGCACATTATTCTAACAAGGAACAAACTAACCTGTATATCCCACAGAAAGACAAAATGTTAGGACATAACGTCTCTGATCCTCTCACCTCCAGTCTGCTCTTCGACCCACTGGTTAATCTCCTTTCGGACTTCAGAAGGAGCATTTTGAAAATCCACTGCAGACAACTCAGCGCCATAATTTTTCTGAGTGCTGGTCAAAAAGTCCTGGAGAAATCATGTAGGAAATGTTTCAATATACCGTGTAAGTGTAACAGTCGCCCTCTCATCTACAAACATACGGACTAGAGCCAGTTAATCACATCTCTGGATGCCAGCAGGAATTGCATTTCTTTGCATAAATCCTCAATCGATTACCAAAATAACTATAATTGCAGGGAAGTTCTCATCAGGGATAACAGCAGTGAAACATCAGTAGGAAACCCAGGGGTCATTTTCTGCAGGAGCGCACAGGAGCAGAGCTCCGGCAGTAAAGAGCCCAGGGGGCGGGCACATGCAACAAGCCCCACCCCCTGTTCCCAGCAGCCCTCAGTCAGAGCAAGAAGCAGCCAGGTAAGCTGCAGAGCCCACCCCCCCCAGCCCCCTGGTCCAAAACCGTCCAGTGGCACCTTTAAGATTAAGTTTTATTCAGGCACAAGCTCTCCCTCCTCTGCGAGGACAGATCTGCACATCCCCCCCCCCAATAGCTAGCAATCCAAAACAGTCCAGTGGAGCCTGAGCGGTGGGTGTTGCCTTCTGACACACTTCCGGTGATGTCAGGGGGTGTGGCATATGCAAATAAGTTATGCTAATGAGCTCCTGCACCTCTTTTTCTATGAAATGACCCCTGAGGAAACCTATCACTATTGGCTCATTGCACAGGATGTGACCCTCAGTAAAGGCCATTTCCTCTCGCTTCGCTAAGATCTGTGTGACTGCAAAACCTCTGGGCATTATCGGATTGGCAACTGGCACCAAAATCCCAACATCCTACAAGACGCTGCATTCTTGACAATGTGCGCCACCTGGTTTTTTTCTTTGCTCAAACAACAGAACTTTGTTTGGGATCCAACACCTTTCAGTTCCGGCTGACTAAAGATTCTCACTGCAATGCAAAGAACTATCTCAGGCTGCAGGATGCAGGCCAATCAAAAGCAACCCCCAGTGGCCCCATAAGTTTTCAAAGTTCTTTTATGTCCCGAACATCAACTTACTTGCAAAAAGTTGTAGGTCTTCTCACCGTAGAGCCGATTAGCAACCTTCACTATATAGGGGGCGTCACTCCGGTTAAACTGGGCATTGAGCTTTTGGAACCTTGAGTGAAGGTCCTCGATATCATCAAAATGAAATGTCTGCCAGAGGAAGGGGAATAATTTGCATCATTATCACCTGGACCAATTAAATCCATCCCAATTAAGGTATCAGAGAGCTGAACAACAATTTGGGCACTTTCTGCCTGGTCTCAAGGTGTGCAGACATGCGACACAACCGATTTGCAGTTTTGGCCCACTGCCTAAATGGTTGGCTTTCATCCGCGTCTTTGCAGATACACCAAGGTAAAGACAAAGAGTACTGAAAAATTCCATGTGTCTTCTAGAATGGCACAAGACATTTTCTTACTCATAGTCTCATTTTTAGGAATCAGGAAGAGAATATATCAAAAGAAGGATATTGTTACTTCCACCAGTTTGGGGGATGGAGTAAACTATATGCCCAAACGTCCAAAATGTGCAAGATATATTCTTTACTAAACTGCTGTCTAAGAAGAAGGTTTTTCCCTAGCTGATATGACTGTGAAGTGCATGGCATTTAATTTTAGACTTTGATATGATTCAGTACTGTTTTATTAAAATACTTTACAGAGCAATCCTAAGCAGGTCTACTCAGTAGAGTTTATTCCAGTGTTCTTAAGACTGAATCACACTGTTCATAAATTAAATAGCTAAACACCAGGTAATTGGTTCCACATTGACTTACAACCCTCACAGAAACAGCCCGTATGACCCCCATGAACACAGAAATGGCCTGTAAGCATCACCCCAATGCATACATTTTAGTTCCTATTTTCATTCCTCTACCTGTTGGGGATAGTGTCAGGAAATACCACATGGAAAAAGCCAGCCATGTGAACCTGTGCCAGAGTAAGCAATGTCTGGTGAGAAGAGAAGAAGCCCCTGGAGGGGTGAAGGGGGGGAAAGGTGAAATGTGAGTGAGCCATTGGGCAGCCATGTCTGTGAAGGCCAAACAGAGAATTAAGGGGAATGTTCGACCTCCTGATGATCTAGTAATGCTATCTGTGCTTTTAGCTGAGTCTCCGGAATTCTGCATTCCTTGCATCATAGGGAAACTGACTTTTAACTCATACCCTGTTTTGTTAAATATTGCAGTCTTGCACACGTAGAATGAGATAGATAAGGTAGTAGCAATCAATGCTCCCTCTAAGCTGTGGAGTCTTGTGAGCAACAATTCTATTTTGTGAGCTACTGGCATTCAAGTTGTGAGCGAGCAATTTGGCTGCTGCATAAATTAGTTTGCTCTGGAGCCATCCTTCCTGAGCTAAGATAAAATGTGCGAGCCGGAGGCTAAAAAACTGTGAGCTAGCTCATAGTAACTCAGCTTAGAGGGAACACTGGTAGTAATGTTAAAAGTATGTTAAGATTGCTTTTCTACTGGTTTGGTCTGGTGCAGTATTGAGTAGGCATGGCATTGATTGGCTATATGTGACTGCATTCTTTTGAGGTAAACTTTGGTATAAGGACCCAAGAAGAACAATGTCACAATGTTAGCATCTCGAACTTTCAAAGGGACAGATACAGTCCTTGAACATGAACAGTTAATAAAGAACTTGCTTCTACGGATTAGTTGCTTGTTCATTTGGACCTATTTGACTGAACTATATGCCCAAAAAATTTGTTTTCCCTGCTAGTGGGCAAGCAAGAGGAACACCAGTTAGACAGGCTAGTGAGCGCCTTCCTTCCTGATAAGTACCATTCCTTGTCTGTCTTCAGATTGCTACTCTTAGGGCAATAACCTACTTTTTCTCGGGAGTTCCACACACTAAATCGGTCTCTGTCTCTCAGCGAGTGATGTAGCTAGAAACCTGTCTCTACTCTTTACTACCAAGCATGCTAACTTCCTGAATAAAGCCTTATCTACACTTCGATCAGTTTCTGTACATCTCTTGCGACAAACTCTCTGGCAACAACTTGGTCTAGTTATTTTTTTATGAACCAACCAAGAGACAAAGAGGATAGAAGAAGACTCACTCCTCTGTTATCCTCTTTTGTTTCTTGGTCACTATAGTACCTGAGTGAATCACTGTATTTTATCTGAGTCACTATATTATCTGGTGTATTGCCATTTTTGATGCAAGAACAAACAAGGCACTCCCACCAAGGCCAGGACCAGAACAGTGGCATTATGAGTACCTTCTGGCGACAGATGATTTCTGTACAAAGTCTAAGCCTCTTGAAGGAGGAGTTGCTCTGATACCCTTTGTCTGTTAACACTAAGTTGATAATACAAAAAGCGACTCCCATGAAAAGCCAGATTCATAGCTAAATCCAAATAAAAGCTTCTCTTGTTGGTGTGACAGTTTACATTTAAAGCATCACAGGCGACAGAGGATTTTATTTAGGGCTAACCGCAGGTAAAAGGTAAAGCCAGTCGAATCTGACTCTAGGGTTGCGGTCCTCATCTCCGTTTCAAAGCCGAAGAGTCAGCGCTGTCCAATGACGTTTCCGTGGTCACGTGGCCGGCATGACTAAACACCAAGGCGCACGGAACGCAGGTGCTATGTAGCAAAATAGCCAGATACCAGCAGAAGAAGCCACCACCAAAAATAAGGGGGCGGGGAGGAAAGGGAAGGGTTGCTAACCTTTGCTAGTTCCTTTGCTGTGTTCTCCCTGGCCCCCAAGAAGACCATGGCGATGGCAGTGGAGATACTGAGAGGGGAATAAAAGATGTTGCCTGTCGGGTCGGCTTCCCTGAACTTTTGGAAGAGATCCAGGGCGAAATGAGCGTTTGCACTCGCCAGCTGCTCCATGCTGCAAACCTGGCAAGCTGGGAAACAAATGAGACCTTGCCGTTAGGTGCACTCAGACGGATTGCATTTGCTGGCAAAGCTGCCGAGAAGCCGGACACTCGCTTTCTGCAGAACATGGCGATCCCTGTGCGCACCTTACATCCGCATCTAGTGAAGACACACATAGGAGCAGAGGAGGATCACATTTGCTGGCCTGGGTTCCCCCCAGAGTATCCCGGCCGCACACACCTGCAGCTGTTCTCAACTAGGGTTGCCAGTCTCCAGGTGGGGCCTGGGGATCTCCCACTTTTACCACTGATCTCCAGCTGACAGAGATCAGCTCCCCTGGAGAAAATGGCTGCTTTGAAGGGTGGGCTCTATGGCATGGTACTATGCTGAGGACCCTCCCCTCCCCAAACCCCACCCTCTCCTGGCTCTATCCCCAAAGTCTCCAGGTATTTTCCAACCCAGACCTGGCAACCAATGCTCCCTCTAAGCTGTGGAGTCTCATGAGCAAAAATTCTACTCTGTGAGCTCCTGGCATGAAATTTGTGAGCGAGCGATTGGGCTGCTGCATAAATTAGTTTCCTCTGGAGCCATCCTTCCTGAGCTGAGACAAAAATGTGTGAGCCAGCCAGAGGCTAAAAAACTGTGAGCCAGCTCACACTAACTCAGCTTAGAGGGAACACTGGACTCCCGGTCAATGTTCCCTCTAAGCTGTGGAGTCTCATGAGCAAAAATTCTACTCTGTGAGCTCCTGGCATGACATTTGTGAGCGAGCGATTGGGCTGCTGCATAAATTAGTTTCCTCTGGAGCCATCCTTCCTGAGCTGAGACAAAAACGTGTGAGCCAGCCAGAGGCTAAAAAACTGTGAGCCAGCTCACACTAACTCAGCTTAGAGGGAACACTGGACTCCCGGTCAATGTTCCCTCTAAGCTGTGGAGTCTCGTGAGCAAAAATTCTACTCTGTGAGCTCCTGGCATGACATTTGTGAGCGAGTGATTGGGCTGCTGCATCAATTAGTTTCCTCTGGAGCCATCCTTCCTGAGCTGAGACAAAAACGTGTGAGCCAGCCAGAGGCTAAAAAACTGTGAGCCAGCTCACACTAACTCAGCTTAGAGGGAACACTGGACTCCCGGTCAATGTTCCCTCTAAGCTGTGGAGTCTTGTGAGCAAAAATTCTACTCTGTGAGCTCCTGGCATGAAATTTGTGAGCGAGAGGGTTGGCCGCTGCATAAATTTGTTTGCTCTGGAGTCCTCCTTCCTAAGCGGAGACAAAAAACCTGTGAGCTGGAGGTTGAAAAACTGTGAGCCGGCTCACACTGACTCAGCTTAGAGGGGACACTGCTGGCCACCCTATTCTCCACCCAGTCCTCGCAGAGAGACCCCCAGACGCTCCTTTACGGTTTCTCTTCCCCCCCACAGCAAAGGAGAGGTCCCCCCCCGCAGTCATCCAGGCCCAAGCCCTGGCGGGGATCGCCCCGATCTGGCCACACCTCGGAAGCTGAGCAGGGCCGGCCCTGGCGCAGCATTTGGAGGGGAGACCGACCTGCAAGGAAACCCAGGGTCGCCGCCGCCCCCTCCCACCCGCCCGCAGCGGCAGGAGCGGCGCATGAGCAAAGGGCTCCCCCGGGAAGAGAGCCTGTCCCTTACTTCGCGAGAGGCGGCGTCGGCGGCGGCGTCTCCAGGTCGCAGCGGGACTCTCCTGCAAACAACGGGAGCGGAGACGGGGGCGGCGCGGCGTGGGCGGCCCAGGAAGCGCTCTCCGCGCAGCAGACCACGCCTCGGGAGCCTTGGACGGAGGGAGGGAGAGGAAGCCGCCGCTCGGAGGAGGAGGGCAGCGGGTTGGTCTGGAGGGAGGGGGGGCTGCGTCGGACGGGAAGCCCGTCGGGCTTTTTGCTCGTTTCACTGGCGGAGGAGGAGGAGAAGGAGGCGGCGGAGGCGGCGGCCCCGGGTGGTGCCTCTTTTGGTTTTCAGACGCCTTCCCCACTTTAGGGAGAAGGCTGCGAAGGCGCAGCCATTTCCTCCTATATATAGTACCATCATCCACCACTTTCCCCTATGATATGCTTGTAAAATAAACGAAGGTAAAGGTAAAGGTCTCCCTTGCTCGAAAGCCAGTCGAATCCGACTCTAGGGCAGCGGTGCTCATCTCCGTTTCCAAGCCGAAGAGCCAGCGCTGTCCGAAGACGTTTCCGCGGTCATGTGGCTGGCATGACTAAACACCAAGGCGCACGGAACGCTGTTACCTTCCCACCGAAGTGGTACCGATTTATCTACTTGCAATTTCTTGCTTTTGAACTGCTAGGTTGGCAGGAGCTGGAGGTAGAGACGGGAGCTCACTCCGTCATGCGGCACCCGGGTCTCGAACTGCCGAACTACCGACCTTCCACAGCCTGCAGTTCAGCGTCTTAACCACTTGAGCCACCGCAGCTCCTTTCCCCTATTAGACGCTTGTAAAATAAACGAGACATGCACTCAACTATGCAAGGGAAACTGAACTCAGTAACACTGTAAGCGAGTGTGTGGAATACTGCCGTGAAAGAATCAAGAGACTATCTTGTGGGATACACGAGAAACTGCAAGTAAAAACACTTGTGAACGTAGCTGGCAACTGCAGAGTTCAGGGACTGTTATGCCTGCATTTGATGACAAGTCACAACGTGGTGGAAGGGCTTTCCATATATAGAGGGTAATGGCACAGCCCGCCTGCATGCAAACCAAGCACCCTGCCCAGTGTCGCAGCTTCCTCCGTCTGAGGGTTGTGCTGATGAGAGGCGCCGGCGGGGGATCAGCTGTTTTGCTCGGTTCTCCCCCCGTCGCGAAGCACAGGCGGCTCAGTGGGTTGCACCGCCCCGTCCGCAAGGCTGATTCCCCCCCCCCCCCCCCCGGCCCCCGGGCGCCGACTTTCTCTCCAAAGAACAGGCGCGCCCTCGGGAATAGGAAAGGAAAAGGTAAACAGGTTCCCTTGCGCGGAAGCCAGGTCGAGTCCGGCTCTAAGGTGGCGGTGCTCAGCTCTGTTTCCAAGCCGGAGAGAAGTGTGTTTTGCAGGGGGGAAAAGAGCAGCGTTTCCTAATAGCGGACTGCGTTAAATTTCAGTGCCCGTTACAGTCCTGTGGATTTGGAGACCTATCTCATCATCCGTTTTCTCTTTCGTCTGTCTCTCGTTATCGGTCTTTTGCGAAGGATTTGGAGAACACAGCTTGGGTCTGTTTTCAGAAGCTGGGCTTCTATCATGTTGGTATTTAATATGTGACTTACAGGTACCCCTATCTTCAAGCACACCTTTGTGTCTGCCTGCCCTGCCTTTTTACACAGGGCCAAAGCTAGATATTGTGGCATCAGGCTTGTGACTTCTCCCTCCTTGCTAAAAAGGTAAAGGTTTCCTTGCTGGAAAGCCAGTCGAATCTGACTCTAGGGTTGTGGTGCTCATCTCCGTTTCCAGGCCGAGGAGCCAGCGCTGTCCGAAGACGTTTCTGTGGTCCTGTGGCCGGCATGACTCAACACCAAGGCGCACGGAACGCTGTTACCTTCCCACCGAAGTGGTACCTATTTATCTACTTGCAATTTCTTGCTTTCGAACTGCTAGGTTGGCAGGAGCTGGAACTAGAGACGGGAGCTCACTCCATCATGCGGCACAGTTGGGTCTCGAACTGCTGAACTACCGACCTTCCACAGCCTGCAGTTCAGCGTCTTAACCCCTTGAGCCACCGCAGCTCCTTTCCTGACAAAGACAAAGACCCGGATTGCAGGCCGGTGTATATAACCCAGGAAACAACCACACACCCCACACCCGTGATTGGCTATTTACAGTATCCGAGAGATCCATAGGCTCTCGGTCGGGATCCGAGCCCTCCTATTGGTGTGGGCTAGGATCCACTTGACCTTTCGTTCTCATTCCCAAAGCTCTGCTACTTCACCAGACCGCCTGGCGACCAGGAGACCAGGTCACCTCCGTGGTCGGGGATGAATACATTACAAGTTCTGTTATTCTTCCTGCGCTTAAGGGACCCTGAAATAAATCGCCTTCTGGGTACCATGACTGTGAAGTGTGAACCTTTCAGGTTATTAAAACAGTGTAACAGGGAAGGTATCTAAGGAAGCATCTGTTTTAAAAGAATAGCTGTTTTTATCCAATGTATATGTTTCCTACATTAATAATTCCTAAGCAGGAAAACTTGTTGAGCCTTCAGCAAAAGGTTATAGGGGCCCTCCTTTTCTCAAACCCCACTCACCCTGGGCTCCACCCCCACCCCAAATCTCGAAATATTTCCTAACCTGGAGTTGGTAACCCTATTTCATTCCCGCCCAACAACAGATAGTTGAAGCATGTGTGTGTAGCAGTTCAGATACCGGTTCAGAATGAAATGTATCTTGGTCATAGAGTTGCCAACCTCTAGGTGGGACCTGGAGATCTCCTGCTATTACCATTGATCTCCAGATGACCAAGATCAGCTCCCCTGGAGAAAATGGCTGCTTTGGAAGGTGGACTCTGTGGCATTGTATCCTGCGGAGGTCCCTCCCCAAACCTCACCCTCTTCAGACTCCACCTTCAGAATCTCCAGATATTTCCCAACCCAGAGCTGGGAACCCTAACTGGTCAGCTCCAGTAACTGACGGAATTCTCATGTGCCACACCCACAGGAAGGATTTTTTTCTCGGAACTCACACTGAGAAGAGTGTTGTCAGTAACCAACCAAACATGGAAATGGTGATGATTTTTATTTGTGAACATGTCTGCTGCCTGGGAAGTCCAAGAAACTTCAGTGATATTATGAAAGAAAACAGAAGGATTCAGGCGAAGTGTTAACATTTATATTACGCATCACAACCAATTAACAGGTTCAACAAACGACACATCCCTTGCCTGTGACTGTGTATATAAGCTGCTTAGTTTCATATCTTGTGAAAGGAGCAACTCCACCAGAGTCCGAACTTCAGAATACAATTCACAGGGACAAGTACAACGTTGTCTGCACGTACAGAAAATGTATCATTCTTTCTAGAAGGACCGTTCAGGCGCTTGATTTTTACATCTGTCATTTGTTTAGAAAATTCTGGTACTGCACTCAAATACGTTGCAAGCGGCATGTGCAGCATTAAACACTCAAAGCTGATGATAAACAAATATTCACGGTGTTTAAGACCCTTTGGTAAAACTCGTTTTACAGCATTTTTTTGTTATGTACGAAGCATCCTGGAAAAAGGAAGATCAAGAATGGACATTGAGCATCCTGGAAAAAAGGAAGACCACAAAATTCAGTGGGTGACAGGTCACCTAGGAAGCAAGCCCTCTGCTTTTCTTAGCAAAACACATGCACCCCCCAAAGGAGAGATGAGTGCAATTAATAAGGTCTGCTACTTCATTAGCAGCATCACTTAAGGTGGTGAGAGTCTCCTAATTACATAAGGCACATAAGAACACAGGGTCATCTTAATATGAATTGTGAGCAGGCCATTTTTGCTCCAATGGAGGGGTTTTCTTTATATCAAGCCAACTATTAACGGAGCTCTACAAAACTTGCTGCAGGCAGCAGAAAGGAGGCCCAGTATAAGAGACACCATTTATAAGGATATTGATGAGAGGTCAGAAACCCTCTCTGAACTACAGTGGGACTGTGTACAGACAGACCACAAGGCACTTTAGGGAGAAGAAAACCTCCCATAGAACAGAATGGTCCCTGTTTTGTTGTGCTGGATAAAAAAGAGGAAGGGGTGGTCAGCCGTGAATCGTGGCACGATCATCGCACACCGCAACATCATCACGGCGGCGGTGGCCGCGGCTGCCTCCGTTCCCTCTTCGTTGACCTCGATGAAGGACTTGTGGACAACCTGTGAGAGGACCAAGTCGTTGCTGGATGACATCCCGCGGAAGTTCGCCTTGCCCACGTCGAAGGCTTCTGGCATGCCCATGCAGCTCAGAACCGGCTTCAGGTCGTATTTTTCTTCTAGTTTAAACTTGGGCAAAGACAACTCGACTTCCGTCAGGTCCATCATCTCCGGGTTCAGCCAGTCCCTGAGTTTCTCGTAGGTCATTTCTCTCTCCAGCTACGGGAGACGGAGAAGGTCAGAAGCACTGAAGGCAGACGGCAATTCTAGCTGTATTGTATAAATCTAATACCTGAAGGGCCACTTGCTCCCATGCCCTCCGTGTTGCCAGGTAACCTTCTTCAGATACCTCACGAAAGCTCCTGCCCTGCCACCAATCTTGCTAGTCTTCAAGGTGCTCCTGGACTCTTGCTCTTTTCTACTGCTACAGACAGACTAACATGGCTACCCAACTCGTACAAGATTTGGTGGCGATATAATATAGCCAAACACAGGCCTATCACTAGAACTTCTTTTGTCTGAACATACCAATGTTGCAACCAGGGCTATTTTTGGGCAGGAACGCACAGGAACAGAGTTCCGGCTGGCTCCCAAGTTGGCCACGCCCAGCAGGAACTCTTTAGCATAATAGGCCACACCCAACAGCAGAAACTCATTAGGAGTGGCTACATTAGGGGTGTGTGGCCTAACATGCAAAGGAGTTCCTGCTACAAAAAAAGACCCTGGGTTTTGACAATAAACAAGGTAAACAGAATAAGAAGCAAAAGGTGGGTGTGGCTGGATAACCACACTTCTGGTAACATGGGGGTGCGGCTTAATGTGCTAATGAGCTTTGCTGTCAGGGGTGCGGCCCAATATGCTAATGAGTTCCTGCTGTTGGGTGTGGCCTATTATGCTAATGAGTTCCTACTGGGCTTTTTCTACAAAAAGAGCCCTGGTTGCAACTATTTGAAGGGGAGGAGAAGATGGGTAAAGAAGACCATATCCCCCCCCCCAAGCTCTTGTTATTTTCTGCCTCTTTCTAAAGCCAGGCTGGTAGACCCAAATATGATTTACAAAAACAGAAATTGCTCTATTGCCCTGGGTGGGTGGATGTGTTGCAGCAGTGTCTGATTCACCATACGACAATAGTCTACCAGAGACTCTTTCTGAGGAGTAAGAATGCCAGTTTAGTAGCAATACCTCACCTTTTCCAGACCGGTGGAATTGTCTTGGATTTCGTCGGGAAGCAGAATGATCATGCTCAGCTCATTTTCGACATAAGGGACCTCAAGGACCTTGGTTTGGTAATCCGGCAGGTAGGTCAGGTTGAATTTTGCTTTCTTGTACATCATTTGCACAGGCCTGCTTTCATTCTAAAAGGAGGAAGGGGGGGTAGAAGAAATGTTAACGATAAGCCAAGCAGGAGCTGGATCGCTCAGAACAACTCTGGAAGAAGCAAGAAATGAGCCTCGCATTGTGCTGCATGCATTACAGCTGCACATGCGTGCTTGTGTTACAAAGTGAGCGCCACGGCTGCACATCCCACTATAATCCCACTTGTCTTCCAAAAAAACCTGACTTCCCGAGGGGCTCATAGGAATCCAAGTTTAATGCAAACGGAAAAATTCAGTGGCAGGTGTCCTCAAGAGAAGAATTCGGAGCCGAGTGGGATTCAGGGCTGGCTAAAGGACACCTGGCCGTTCCCCCACTGCCCCTCTGATGGGCTCTTACCCCCTGGATCTTATGAATGTCCAACAGATAAAAGATGGGGGACCTCCTGTGATTTAACTACCTCCCTACGGCCTCCCAATCCACACGGCTTCTTGTCTCTGTTGGGTCTCCTTGACATCGCCTGTGGTCAGGTCTTTTTCTTTCTTTCTTTTTAAAGTACCCATAGGTACACTTTTATTAATTTTTCTTTTATAATCTACAACAAACAAATCTACACACTACAAACTGGCACTCTACTACACATAACATATATACCAAGAGTACAGTTACATTATATGCTTATATCCAATTACTTAATTAATAAAAACGCTCTATCAGACACTTTCCATTCTTCTGTCTTCCGTGTTCTCAAGTCCACTGTGCTATAATTGCCTAATCTTCTATTATATTTACATTATACCAATCATAAAACTTTTTCCATGTTTTTTGAAATGTCCACTCTTTGCTTAGTCTCATTTCTAAAGTCAGTTTATCATTTTCTGCTGTTTCAAAAAGTTTATTCACAAACTCCTGTTTCGTTGGTATCACCATAGTTTTCCAATATTTGGCATATAAGATTCTTGCAGCTGTCGTCATATAAACAGTCCAATACCTATTCTCTTTTTCATAATCATTTGGAAATATATTAAGCAGCAAGACCTTGTCAGGTCTTTTTCTTTACCATCAAATCACAGCTGACCTATGGCGACCCCGTAGGGTTTTCAAGGCAAGAGACATTCAGAGGTAGGCTGCCATTGCCTGCCTTTGCTTCACGACCCTGGTATTCCTTGGAGGTCTCCCCTCCAAAGACTAGCCAAAGCCAAACCCCCCCCCCCTTTAGCTTCCAAGATCTGACATGATTGGGACAACCTCGGCTATCCACAGTGGGGTGTGCAGGTCTTATGGGGATGTTAAAGGTAGAAAAGCCTGCTTCTACCACCGGAGCCAACCTAGCAGTTCGAAAGCAAAAAATTGCAAGTAGATAAATAGGGACCACTTCGGTGGGAAGGTAACAGCGTTCCGTGCGCCTCGGTGTTTAGTCATGCCGGCCACATGACCACGGAAACGTTTTCGGACAGCGCTGGCTCTTCGGCTTTGAAACTGAGATGAGCACCGCAACCCTAGAGTCGGACTCGACTGGCTTTCGAGCAAGGGAAACCTTTACCTTTAACCTTACCATCAGAGCATCCATAGTATCCAACCCACTGAACGCAGAAGGGAGCAGAACTCTTACCTGGAGTTTGCTCCAGGCCTCTGCTTGATTTTTCTTTCGTGCTCCACTTTCTTTCCTCATCTCTCCGCTTCAATTTCTATTACCTCTGGTCACTGGTGACCTATAACCTTCTCGTTACAAGTGATCGGAGTTTAGTTTACACAAGAGGGGGACCCGCGATACTCGCGGGGGGGAGAAGAGCCCCGTCTCCTCCACCCCACCACCCCTCGATCTCCCCGAGGCGGCAGCGGCGAGGCCGGTCTTCCCCCGCCCGGCTGGCCTGCCTGCTGGCGGCTCCGAGAAAGAGGAGGAGGAGGCGGCGGCGAGGCCGGTCCTCCCGCCCGCCCGCCCTGCCTGCCGGCCGACTCCGAGGAGAAGGCGGCGGCGGCGAAGCCGGTCCTTCCCCCGGCTGCCCGCCCGTCCTGCCTGCCTGTCTGCCGGCTCCGAGGAGGAGGAGGCGGCGGCGAGGC